ACTGGCAAAGGAGAGTCTTCAACGCCGAGGATCTACAAGCCAGCAATCTGTCCTTCGCCGACTCGCTTCCAAACACGACTCACGTGCGCTACGGTTTTCGGCCCTGCACCACCCTTCACCAGCAGGAAGTGTATGCGTCCCCTAAGTTTGATGCCCGATATCGCCTCTTCACCAACGGAACTCTTTTTTTGGATCTGTCGGCTTTCTCTGGACATGGAAATGTGTCACTGAACCCCGATGAGTATTGCTTAGACGTGCTCCATGCCAGGAATATATCAATAAAAGTGATATTGTCTTGTCTCTGTGAGAGAGTGACTTGCTTTCGAAAGTGTCTTGCGGTTGATGCAGAGTATGTATTTGGCAAAGATGATGAGTTGCTCAGTAACAGAACGGAGGGCGAACAGATGAAAGAGACGTGGCGACCGTTTCGCGGGCAAGAAAACGTGCCTGTTCATCATCTCATCGTCAACCGACCTCTACAGTGCAACCTTAGTGATAGCAGTTTAGTGCCGGTACGTCTTTATCATAAATTCGCAGAAATAAAAAAATACCGTATTAACGCGAATCTACTGCGCACCTTTTTTAACCAAATGTAGTACTCAAACTCGTAATGATCATTGGATTCGATGACGCATTATATTCGAGTGCAAAGCCGTTCTGTGGAAGGTCAGTAACGCCATTATGTTTTTCGTTTATTAAGCCACAATGGATTGCTGGAGTTTTCAAATTCAGCTTCCTTTCATTTGAGGAGCGTTCATACAAATAACATGTCTCACAAATCAGACTTTTCAGAACAGCGAAAAACTGATGGTTGACACGTTATCGCATCTTCAAACAATGTAAATGCTGTACTTCTTACCAGTGTATCTACAATAGTCTTCAGGTACTGCTAATCAAATCAGTGATTTATAATTATGACGATATTTCAGGTTAAAAGTTGGGCATGTTTGCTTTTATCCGAAGCACCATCGGACATGTTTGCTTTTGCGTAAAATAAAGCTACTATTATCATCACATTTGTTTGAGATAAATTATTCTACTACAGTGTGTACACATATTTTATTTCTCAAAAGAGACAAAATTACTACAACAATTTCTGTAGCTAATGTAGCCATTTTTGGCCACCATAGACATTACAAATAACTAAAAAGAAATTAAAATCTATATGTGCCAGCCATGATCATCTTCAAAACAATCACATTTATCTTTCAGTTCTTGGCTATCCATTACAGTTTGATTTTCAGTTAATGGTGCATCAAAAACAAAGGAATACCTTTCCAGACCAGGATATTTTAAGAATTTTCCCCATTTATCTCCTAAAAGTTCAGTCACCAGATCTGCTACATTAGATCTCTTTGCCAATGATATACCCCTTTCTAGAGACAACTGAAGGCTAAATATTTGTTAATGGAAAAACCACGTTCATAAAGGGTCAAATGAGGATCTTCATCAAATCTAAAATATTACTGTGGGTTGATTTTGAATTTATGAATATTCTTCCCTTCCATTGTTTTCTGAATATTGATTATCTTTACATTTCTGATGTTCTGTGGTTTCTTGAACATACTACCAAAGGTTTTGTGTCCTTGAGATCCCAAACTTCTAATATATAAAATAGGACGCTGTTGTGAAGACTTTACAGACGGAATGAGCAGCCACGTGATCGTAAATCTTGTCATATTGTTGGTTACCGGACATGTTCTTTATTGCTTGCAACAATGCTGTGGACATATTGGATTTTACCTGAACCTCGTATGTTTACAGGTACAATTATTATTGATGTATTTACTTTTGTTCCTCCACATTAAGAGAGAAGATGCAGCTGACAGCGAACAGTATTACTGTAACGCTAAAATTTTCCCCCGATGGACGTGTTTGTTTTTGCATGAACACTCCTCATTTATCATTGGTCTATTATTGAGAGTTTTTAGTTACGAAATGAAGGACAAACAGAGAATAATGTCTTATGATGTTTCATTAAAGCGTAAATCAGTCAGAATGCTAATTATGTATACGATAAATCCATTGTTATACTACAAAAATTAAAATAAAATTCCACACCTATTATTCTGTCATTGATGAAATTACAATAGATTTAAAACATTTTTCATAATTTTAAATTTCATATATGGAATGCGCATTAGATTCGATGGCATATCAGATTTGAGAAAAGACTGTATTAGAGTTTGATAGTGCTACGATGTTTGATTGGCCTGTCGGAATTATTTTAATCTGATATAGAAAATATTAAACTGAGAATTTTTTATACAATGCTTATTATACATTATTATTATTATTATTATTATTATTATTATTATTATTTTGCGCATCTCTTCTCCTTTCTCTTGTTTTTGTTATCCTAACTTCTTAATTGAAAATGTACACTTAAACGTAAGTTCGAATCTCTAAAGCACCAATGCACTCTAATCTGTTTTTTTTGTTAAAATGTTATAAAATATTAGCCTCTCGCGTACAACTAGGTCTTTTAAGCATAGCGAGACACTGGCGGCATAATATTCGAGGGAAGGAATTGAATAATGATTGCACGTTGCATTACTTGCAAGATTCTGTGTCATGGCGAGTTTTGTTTCTTTGTGCACTCCAAAACAAATACGGAAGAATTAGAAAACGCAATTAAAATGTTGAGACACACATTAGCTCACATTTATGGATGTCAATGTTTCCACGACGAAAAGCTCTGAGAATTTTTTCTATGGCTGTTAGTACTTTAACAGATCATATATCATGAAGCTAATGAAATATATTGGCAAATAGGGTCATTACTTTCAATTTCTAATAAACCGAATTTTAAAATACTCCCACATAGGTTCTCAGCATTTTAGGCAAGTTCAAAAGAAATTGAGTTTGCTGAATTCGAAACCTTTCAACACAATTATGGCGGTTGTATTTCGTTACAAGCACCATAAATTGATCAAACGTAAATAAAAATGTCGCTGGTATATTGTAGCGCATAGTTATCTCTAAGGGAATAATTTTCATACAAGCACACGACAGGATTTTGTTAGTTCTTTCTTCCATCTCTTCTATCTTGCAGTTTTCATTCATCATTTCCTAACTTTCTTCTCGTCTTACTCTTTTTTTACTTTTGCACCCACCTACTCCTTCCTCTCTACCCCTATTCTTTCCCTTTATGTCTCCCCCTTTGTATTCCTCCTCCTATCTCTCTCCTCTACTCTCCATCACAATCTCCATCTCTCCCCCGACATCTCTGTCTTCTACAGCATTCACTCCCTCCCTCTCTTCTACCCCTTTCTCGTCTTTAACTGTTTCTCTCTTTCTTTCTCTTTCTCTCTCTCTCTCTCTCTCTCTCTTTTCTCCCTATCGTTTCTTTCATCCTCTCCACTGTCTCCCTCTATCTTTAATGACTCTCACTCTCTCTGTATTTCCTCCATCTGTCTTCCGTCCCCCTTTCTCCCACTCCCTTTCTTACATTTTCTTCCCTCTCCCTCCTTTTCCATCTCTTCCCCTTTTGCAAGTTTCCTCGTCTCACTCTACTTTATTCTCACCGTCTTATGTTCTGAATCTTCAATTCCCTTTTTTCTTTCTCACTGATCTACCCATTTTCCATTTCTCTTCCTTCTCTTCGATGCACTTCTGTCTCAACTTTACTCTTCTCTACTCCATCTTATGCATTAGATGTCTCTGGACAACAATTTATGTCACTGCAGGGATTCTGGCCGAAAGGTCCCAGAGTACCAGTCACGAGGGTGGTAGGATTTTCGACACTAGTTACAGAGTTGAGTCGAATCCAGTTAATGTCTGGAGGAGAATTCTAGTGACCGGCTGCTTTTATCGATAGTTTTCCGTGTTCCTTTGATAAACACTAGGCAAATGCCGGAGCAGTACAGTAACACAAGGGCCATAGACTGCGCGCGATTTTTCCTTTCTATTTCTTACCTACTCATTTAAGCTCTACAGTACCACATATGTCGCGAGACCATTCAGGCGGTTAGAGCTTGGCTTGGCTGGAGTGGGGCCCCCGGCGAGGGAAGATACCTGTTTAGGGAAAACCCCGCAAGGCTGACGGGTAGGTCGGCTCCGGATCTCGTCATCCAGTGGGAGATGACCGCGATAAAAACGTGGACTACACTTACGGGACTAATGGCCTTGACGCACCCGGAGCCCGTTGTTTTCCCCGCGTCCTTCCTCGCGCTCCCGCTTCCACTCCGCCGCCCGCTGCGCGCGCAGGTGATCCTGAACGACCAGCGCGGGCAGCGGCGCAACGTGACGGCGCAACGCGACGGCAGCGCGGTGCTGGAGGACATCGAGGGCGCGGTGGCGCCGGGCCTGTGGTGCGGCGAGAGCATTCGCCTGGAGGACGGCGAGCGCGTGGCCACGGCGCACCTGTGCCGGCGCCCCACGCGACAGAGCACCCCGCGCGTGCTCGCCTACGCGTCGTGCCTGGCGGTGAGCGCGTGCTTCCTGCTGCTGACGCTGGCCGTGTACGCGGCGCTGCCCAAGCTGCGCGCGCAGCCGCACGCCAAGGCGCTCATGTGCCACTGCGCCGCGCTCGTGCTGGGCTGCGTCGTGCTCGCCGCCGCGCAGGCCGGCTGGTACCCCACAGGCCCCGAATGCGAGTTCATCGGTAAGTCTAAGCGTAGGCTTCCGCGGACACGGTCACGTGAGTGCTGGCCGGGTTACGCCGCGTCGGGCACAGTTATGCCGACGTGACGACCAGCCCGTCGCGGTCTTCTTCAGGGCTGGAATGAGCGCGGAGCTGGTCAAAATGTGGGCATCACTGCCCTCGATGCGGGTGCTAGACAGCCGAGAGCCTCCTCCTCGGTAAATCAGGCAAACGAATAAGTATAAATGAGTCATTCCACGCTAAATCGCACACTCACAAAACATCTCTATTTTTTACCAACTTGAAACTTTTTTATGAGTTTTAGGATTGAAAATAGCTGACACGATTTTTTTTTCTTTTTTCCCCGCTTTCAGAAATATTATCACCTACTTTTTTCGAAGAACGATGCGCGCACTAGATTAAACAAAATTGCGCAAATACCGTTGTATTCAGAAAGATAAAATGACACATTTAACTTAAAAAGATTTACTTCCATACTATGTAAAAATATGTGAAAACATTATTTAAATATTTAAAATATGTTTTAATTTTTAAAATGCAAATTTTTACTTAAGGACGACACTTATATTAATTGTAAGAAATATTCGTGACTTTCTATACTAATTTTGTATAGATCTGCCAAATTTCAAAGTCGGACACATATAAATAATATTTAAAAAAATAGTTTGTTCACGGGCGCACGTAGGTAGCCCGTTGTCTGCCGGGGGGCTATGACACGGCGGATTCTGACGTCCAAACATAATGCAACCATGTGACTTATATCATGCTGTGAATCACAGAAACACACATCTGTTCTCAAATGCAAGTCTTCTGACGAAATGAGACTATTAAGTTTGTTTATAAATAATTGACACTGCTGGGGTCTGCCTGAAACACATCAGTCTTCCTTCTCAGATATACTGACTCAGTTGTGTAAACAGAGGAATCAGCGAAACATGTGCGCTGTTCTGTGAAGCTAGAAACCATAGAGAGACTTACAATATCACTACTATGAAAATCTATTATTGCAGAAGAAGTGTAGGTTTAGGTTAATACAATCGGCATTCTTGGGAAGTTGAAAATTGCCTGTTTGTCGAAAAAAAGTCATATTATTGGAAAAACAATTTTTCAAAAATCCTTCTCGTGACGAGTCACGTGAAGTCTTATCAAGAAAGTGAGAATCACTTGGGTGTTTTTGGGCAGTGACACTGATGAATAACGTAGACTGCTGGTCTTGGTCACATTAACGTAACAACTGATATGAGTAATAAAGAAACTGACCAAGTAAGTTCGTCTTCTGTTTCTTCTGCTGTCTTCACTCATTGTGACATGCCATTTTATTTCATCTTCATATTCATTTTATTCATTGAGATATGGCCAAAAAGTACTGCTGTGGGTTCGGCACTTTCTTATCATACCCTTATTCGGTGAATTCATTAACACTAACAGAAGCAAATAAAATTCGCACGCGAATTTAATGCTAGATGATACTAATCGAGTCTAAAACCTTCGGTGTTGAATGGCATTTCTTCGTTTCGCAACGTTTATGGAATGAGACCTTGCGATGTAGTAAGAAGGGTGGGGGGGCAACTATAATATTCTTAATAAAAGTTAGCTTTCAGTTCTGGCAGGAAACTATTAATTTACCTAGGAAGTTATTTAAGGGGTTTGATGACAATGTGAAGATCATTACCTTTATATTTTTAGTAACGCTGAATATTTAGAAAGAGGAAATGCAACAATGATATGATAAAACACTGTAGGGGGCATAAAGAAAATACATAGTTTCATTTCTTTGTGAAAAAGTGAATTAACAATATTCTCTGTAAAGTGAAGTAAAAGAAATATCAACGTATTTAACTATGTCACATACTCTTATTCGTATAAATACTCCGACTCTTTAATACTAAATTGAATCAACTTGACACCTTTTAATTAGAATTTATTCGGCTCTGAAGGCCATATGTACATATTTGGCACATAGTAAGACTTGAAGGGATTCGTCTGTTTATTGCTCTGTGAAAGTATATTGATAGTAATCGTCTTCCGCTGATTGACACTTGTTTAAGGGGTGACGCTCTAGCAGACGCCTCAGCAAAACAGCAAGTCGACATATCGATTAAATTTAATTTCTCAGATTCATGTAGGTGTCCCACTTTGTGACTTCCAACATTTATGAAAAACTTATTAGAAATTACAATAGTATTTTTTATAATTTTTAAACTGTCGTTTTTTGGGGAAAATTAAATAAATAAATATAAAATAGATCAAATTTTTTAAAAAAATAATGACTTCAATACATACATTAAATGAAAGAGCATCTTTTGTTCTTTAAAATCGCAAATTATTACGTTTCTGTTAAAATTACAACACGAGTTAAAAATGATTAACTTTAGCGATGCGAGCATTTTATCTAAAATTTGAAAATTAATCTAATCTCGAAAAAAAATATTCGGGAAAAAATTAAAGACTCTAGTTTTATATTTTTACTTATACTCATCACAGAGAAAAGATTTAAAAATCTGGGTCATCAAGGTCAAATTTTTCCTTCAATTGGTGCGATTTCACGTCCTTTCCCGACACCTTGTTCAACGCAATTACGCTTTGAAATATATTCAACAGGCGTCAAGAAATCCAAGTTGTGACCATGTTACTGAGTAACAATGTATTTTAATAACTAAATTTGTTCAAAGAATTAGTCATCCCGACCGGTATTGGAACCCGGAATTCCAACCAGAAAGCCTGGGTTAGAATCCCAGTTGGGGCAACCGTTTCTTTGAGCAAATTTAATTATAAAACGAATAAAGAAGATCTGAAAATGGGAAGTAGACAAAGACTACTTAACATAATACTTTCGAAATATTCAAGAATAGGTCTTTACGGAACTTGTCAACACGTGAGTCTTTGGTATACGAGTAGAATGTGACCGAACGAGTCGAAGCGGTAGGAGATAAATACAGAATTATGTAGACGACAACTATTGTACGCGTTGGAAACTAAGAAGTACGATGTTCACGACGCCTTACGGGTTTTTTTACTGTGTTTTACCCAGTGTTTTCTTTTATTTGCTGTACTCGACCCGCAAAATGCTACTTTTCCGTCCACTTACCGCAAATTAACTGTTCCGGCCAATAGAAAGAACGGAAATACTCGTTTCCATCCATGGATGCTAAACATATTTTTTCCTCGTTTTGTATAGTATGTTAGTAAACATTTGAATTATTTATTATAAATAAACGACTGGCGTTATTTATTCTCATTCCCAACCAAAAAGCTAAATTTTTTAAGGAGCATAATAAAAAAATGGCGTATTTACGATGAATTTGAAATCATCGCGGACAGTTTGTTTAAATATGCCACAAAGAACACAATTGTCCTTCAGAGTTCATTTTATCTAACGATGTATATTTAATTACAGTGCATTTAATGTGTATACCTACTTATATGGAAGAACAGTTCAAAACTTCAAAATAAATCAATGTAAATAATTTGATACTTTTTATTAAAATAATATTTTCTGGAATAAGTAAAAATATTAGGAAAAACATGATCTATCACATAAATCAATATTTTTCTCTCTGAGTTAGTATCGAGATTATATTCTATAAATTATTTTATTTTTCAAATTTAGTGCATCAGTTTTCCGAACCAATGTCGTTTTTATATTTAAATCAAAATTTCACCCAAAAATGTGTCGACTTATCATTTTAAGGTCTTGAATGCGAAAAGTATTACATGTACTATTTGTTTCTACAGTTGATTCTCAATAAATCTTAAGAACTTCATGGCATGTTGGCATGTTGGATGGTCAAAGGTGGGAAATTTCATATAACAAAAATGCACGTAAAATTTTTGCCTGATTGGCAGGCAACACTACGCAATGATCTGGTGTATGTCAAGTATACGAAGTATTTTTGACTGCGTCAGAACATGACCTGCCAAATACCAGCGCATGGTGTGTTGCCAAACCATCAGGGAATGCCACATGTCAACTCCCTTACAATAAATTTCCTACCACGTGTGCATTGCGAATGGACTTTGAATCCCTTACATGCGATAATATATGATCTCCTATGTTCTCTCCCTTCCTTTATATAGCGAAATTAACTTTCCCTAATTACTACTTCCTAGTTACTGACTTATGGGCCATTCAATTGCCCGGTTGACGATGTAATATAATTATAATTGAACTATTCAAAATATATATCTCGGATTTATTCTTTCTCGCTACAGAGGGAAGAGAAAGTTATGTAATGCTCCGCAAAAGCTTTGCGAATTTTTTCAGGAAAACCTTTATTACAGGGCGCCGGTGAAGAAAAAGAGGATAAATCTATTTGCTAAAGTTAGAAAAAATCCATTATCACGTTGTGAATCCAGAATCCAGCCAGGCCTTGATACTGAAAAATCGAATGACGATAAAATGTGTCTGCCTGCCCGTCCGCCTGTCAGTCTGTGAAAAGCACTAACGGCTAAACCGTTCCGCCGATATTCTCCAAAATTGATATTCCCCAATCGATCTGGCTGATGATGCGGCCCCTTGAATTTGAAACCGTTATTTTAATTCTGGGGGTACTTTACACGAGGACCCTGTGACTTTTTTTAATTTTTTAAAAAAATGGCTTTATGGTTTTTGATTAGCTTTTGTTGTTGGATATATTATTGTGTGAAGGACATTTAAGAGAATGGTGCAGGTGCAGGTCTCATGTTTGTTGAAAACTGCAAATTTTCGAAAATTGCAAAATATAAAAAAGTCAGAGTCTTCCTTCAACTAAAATATTAAAGGTAGAGATTTTCCCTTAATTAAATCTGTTCCTTAAAGATTTATTTAGAAATAAGATCATGTAAAATTTTTCGAAACTTCGATTCATTTTTGCGTAATGTTGCGTGAAAACACAGGCGACAAAGGACGTGCTGTTTTAGCCCCAGTAGTTTCTTATCGCGTAGACTTGAAAATTCCCCGCTGTACGAGGTGTCGTCTGATAACGTTTTCTTTGGAAAATTACTGCTGGAAACTAATTGCTACTGAAAAGGTGAAAATAAAAAACAACCACATTATTTGAAATTGATAAGGGCAACAAAACTCCACTGCGCTGTTTTATTAGAAATATGCTTCTGACGCTATAAGAGAAATACATACGATAACAAACTGTATAATTACACATAAACTACATTTACATAATCAACAATAACGCTCAAACATTCATTCATCACACGCGCAGATCTATGCATTTATTAGCTGACTGGTATGTTAAATGAGCATTATTCATTTGATTATTTTTCATCGCAAAATTATCAGATTCACATTTCTAATTCAGTATTTGAAACATTCCACTTCCATTTTATTGATCTGTTGCTCACTGGACCGGCGAATAACTGGTGGTTCAGGAGAACAGATTTTTTACGAACTCCATTCGCGTTCCAACTGCATCTCGTACTCCACACTCGAAAATACCAATATAATTTCTACATTCAATTTTAAAATTGAAATTCCATGTGTCTAACTTGATTGATAACTGCTGTCATAATTCTGATAACTTTACGAGTTAATATTAAAATTCTATTTCTTCAAATTCACAACGTGGCTTTAAGCTCATCACATTTCCGTTCTGCCTCGCTACCGCCCCTTTTCGTAGATATTCCCGAAACAAAACTTGTGTAAATGCCCACTGTTTAATGACGCGGTGCTGATCAATGTTAAGTTTTCTAATTGCTTAGTTTCAGGCAATTTGTATTTGTAACATAATCCCTGCTTCAGCTCTAGAGATCTCGGGAATTTGAGCAGTTGTGGGTTGGATTTGATCTGAGAAGATTAATGCTTCAAAAAATATAATTGTTATTTTTAACACACTTTGTCAGATGAACAAATGCTTTCTTATTAACGCCTCCTTACTAGAGATCAATAATGCATGAACACTCATTTTTTACATTTTCTTAATATCTTTCATTATTTTCGTGCTTAACAATAGCTATAAAATTCAAATGCCAACTGTCGTCTTTTGTAACTATCGGTTTTTGAATGTTCCATCTTTTAGATACTGGCAGTGGCTTACTCAATGTAAGATCATTATATTATCTGGCCGGTTGTAGTTTCCTACCTTCAATGGCAGGTGACCGAGCCAAGTGGCTGAGGCGTAGTTCACCAACTTTGCATTCGGGACGCTCGAGTTCAGTCGCCGTGCCGGCCATCCTGACAGGTGTTTTCGTGGTTTCCGGCGGTCATCTAGGTGAATGCTGGGGTGTTTCTACTGCGAAACCGACGTGGATAGCCGAATTCGCTAACTAGCTGAAGTCACGAAGGTTAAGCTAATCTGAGACATCGCGGGTGTCTAGTTGGATGACCCACTAGGAACCCACGGATCTAACGACGCCGAGGTCAATTGCCCTTTATGGGACATATAATGGCTAAATACATAATGCAAATGGCGGAGTGCTGGCTCTGAGATGCCAGAACCAATCGGGAGGTCTACGAGGACGCGGACACACATGCGGCGGGTTCACAGACGCATGTGGATTGCCGTGCACGGTTGCAACAAAGCCCAAATTGCTGAAGGAAGCATGTCAGGCGCACGCCTCGCGTGTATTTCCGGCTGTCAAACGCCGCCAGCGCACATTGGCGACTTTACACTATGAGATCAACAGTATCCGGACGCGTCCAAAATACTATTATGGTGTGGTCGTGTAGTTCATGGAGGGGGCTTTCACCCCTTGTTGTTTTGTGTGGCACTATCACAGCACAGGCCAACGTTGACGTTTTAAACACCTCGCTTCCCCCTTTTGAAGAGCAATTCGGGGATGGCGATTGCATCTTTCAACAAGATCGAGCACCTGTTTATACTGCACGACCTGTGGCGGAGTGGTTACACGACAATAAAAACCTTGAAATGCACTGGACTGCACAGAGTCCTGACTTGAATCCTATCGAGCACCTTTGGGATGTTTTGGAACGCCACCTTCGTGCCTGGCCTCACCGACCTACATCAATACCTCTCCTCAGTGCAACGCTCCGTGAAGAATGGTCTGCCATTCCCCAAGAAACCTTCCAGAACCTGATTGAAAGTATGCCCGCGAGATCGTAAGCTGTCATCAGGGGTAAGGGTGGGCCAACACCTTATTGAATTCCACCATTACTGATGGAGGGTGCCACGAATTAAGTCAAATTTCAGCCACGTATCCGGATACTTTTGATCACATTCTGTATGTCTTGTTGCACGTGAAATGTGCGTGGACTGTCATTACTTCGTTCTCGAAGTTCTTAATCTGCTCTACGTATAGCATATCTTAAAAACGGCGTTCTAACTGGTCATTGCTCTAGCGTAGCCAAATCTTTCTCTTTTATCCGCTTCCTCTTCGTAAATCTCACCCTCTCTTCTCCAATATGCTTTGCATCTCCTAACAGTTGATCTGAAGGGCTAGCTTTGGAATTGCTGAATTTGGAAATTCTGAAAATACATGTATTCTCTATTGCGGATTTTTTCTCTCTCTCTCTCGGTTTTAAAAGATGTAATTGCATGTTGCAGCTCTGGCAATACAGTTCTGCTACCTAGCTGCTTTCTTCTGGTTGAGTATTCTCTCTTACGACATTTCACAGGCATTCAGGTAAGAAAATCGATGCGTCATATTGTTTTCAATGAAATTCGTATTTTTAAGAATTTTTTTTCAACAACGTAATTTTTTTAATTGTTGTAACATTTTTTAAGGGTTCATTATTTTATGTATGTTAATTTCAAAATGAAATATCTTGATTTTGGTAATCAAAACTTAATTATTTTATTCTAAAAATCAAATGATTTACAAAAAACAATACGAACGAATATCAATCGACGTTACCAATTCACATAACATACTGCCTTTTTTATCAACATTTCAGAGAATACAGCAAGCCCTCCCAGAGCACCTCCGAGCGAACATTCCGCAAGTACGTCTTCATTGCGTGGGGAATCCCGTTTCTGGTCACGTGCACAACTTTTATCATCGTCAGATTCCAGAGGGCAGATCAACTTCCTAATTGGATTGTGCCTCCTAACATAGGAAAGCACGATTGTTGGTTTGGAGGTTTGTGAAACAACTTCTATTTATTTGTTAATGAGTTAATGTTCACTCCTTTTTCTGTCAACATTCTTATCAACTGAATGGAGTGAATCCTACCTGATGTCTTCTGTCAGCCTTGGAAGTCCACGGGGAGAATTGTAATGGCCGGCTGCCACGATCAGTATTTGCCGTGATCAGTACTAAGTGAATGCCGAAGCAATACCCCAACAAATAGATCATGATCACACGAGATCTTTTCTTCCACATATTTGTTCTCTCCCCTTACACACACAAACACACACACACTCTTTTATGCATTACACTACCGTGTATGTCGGGAGAGACGTTAGGAGGTTAGAGCTAGTACCGGCAGGAGTGAATCCCCGCTCTCGGAGTCTCCTAGAGGAAATTCGACGACAAACATTTAGGTCGGCGCCGAATCTCGCAATCTGCAGTACACGTTTGGTGATCATATGTCACAATGATCTAATTAGTTAATGTGCCCGGAATCATAATTCGTCACTTACCCACTCTCTAAAAACGATATTGACAAATCTGCCTTTTCAATTTAACTCTTCAATGATTCCCCAATACCCGATCTCATGTCTTGTGATATTTCCTCTTCTGAACCCATTTTCTTCGTTCAACGTTTCACCCGAATAGAACTTTTTGCTAAAGTCTTCTAGATATCATATAAATAAAATATTTGAAGCATTTTACGAACAACAATTCCGCAGTATTTCTTCATAGATGAAACTATCAACCGCGGCTAGCCTTACAATTTTCGATGTTCTGCGCTTCATAACAACCGACTCACGTAAATATTACTTTTTTTGCTTCTATTTATTTTTCTCGTTGTTTCATCAGTTGCACGGCGTTTCTCTGTTGAAACTAAATCCAAGTGTTCGAGTAGATCGAAAAAAAAAATTCACCAGAAGAAAGTTTAAACTAACGAGGAAATTATTATTCGTTCTCAGTCTTGAATATCCAAACTACGTTTTTTTCTACATTCACACATTTTCTGTTTACGCATTTATATTTGAATTTAATTTATACATGAAAAAGTGAGCTTACGAACATATTTTTTGTCATGTTTTGAAAGTGTCTTTTAGAAAACAGTTTCCAGTACTAAAAATTATTCAACGTTCTCGAAAACAATTCACTAACTCTCATTGGTAAAGTACTATAATAATTACAATATTAGACAAAAAGCAGTCATATAATGATGATTTTATTGTAATAAGAGTATGTACTAACTTATATTTTAATTACTAACTACTATTCCACTCGTGAAATTAAAACCAATAGTGTTTAACTATACATATTAGGGTGGTGTATCTCACAACGTTTATTGCTTTATCTATCCGATTTTTCTTATCGCTTCTACCTACTGACCAATCATAAACTGTGCCTCATCCATCTTAGGAGGCGTTAAATATCGATCGCTGTGTCGATGTCCAATAAACAGAGTATGTACTATAACATAACCTCTGATTTTAACCATATGTTTTCGGTTATTTTCAATATTTGGCGCCTTTTAGAAGTCTGTGGATCTAATTTCACTTGCACAATAGTCCTATTAAATATAACTTTGCTTTATAAATTCTCAGATAAATCCCCTCCTCGCTTTCGCGAGTCGGGAATTTATCGATGGTTTTTTAAGGACTCATGGTATTACCTATTATAAAGACTATGGATACCATTATCAGCATTAAAATGTGTTCTTTCACAATAAAACTCATGCCATTGGGTCTCTAGCTTTGTTTGCAAATACAATTCAACTGCGGTTTGATATTGCATGAAATAATAAGTTTCCTTTTTCCTCATACCACATCATTATATTGATGCTGGACGAAACTCGATAAAAGTGTTAAGGAACTCTTATCTACAATGAAAAAAATTGGAAGGCGCATTTTCCCTCTCTTGAGCCACTTGCACAGCCACCGTTGACTCAACGCAAGGACGTGGTGTACCTCAATATCAAACCGCACTTGTTTTGCATTTGCGATTGAAACTAGTTGCTCAGTAAAGAACTTTGCGTACATTAATATGGCAAAACATTAGAAAGGAAGATAAATCTGATCTTTGGAAGATTGTTTCAAATTCTGAAGTGATGGTCAAGAGTAAGTACTGCCTGAGTTAATAAACGGAACTGGAACACATATACGAGACTACTAAAGCCAGAAGTTCAGAAGGCAATAAAAACGGCAAAGGATTTGTAGGTTTCAGTATCATAAAATTAGACATTTTTTTAACTTTTAAAGGATGAGAATATTATTAAAATTACAAATATTTTTAATAATATGACACTGATTGCCTACGTACTGAATGATGAAAATATGTGTTTCTTTCATTTTAAAACATCATTTGGGCAAGAAACTACGATTATCAGACGATAAGTTTAATGTCACACATAATCGAGAGTATTTTGGCATCATGCTCGTCGCATTTACCGAAATTTGGAAGTAGAAATAGGAGAACTAGGGAATCATTGTTTGTTTCTGAAGATTTTGTTCAGAAATGTTCGGATCAAAGACGAGATGTTTATTTATGTATTAATCATGTTAAAAAAATCGTTTGATAATGCGTAACATAATACGCTCCTGCATATTCTAGAGAATATTAATTTGGACTTTAAAGGTATACGTATCATCAAGAACTTGTAGTGAGGACAAACGACTCAAGTGCCAGTTCATCAGCATCTTACTGAGGAAGTGGTTGTAAAAAAAGAAGTTAGAAAGATCTCCTTTGCTATTTAACCTATGTTCAGAATATATTTAAAAGATGCTTTAGAAAATTGTAATTTGGGATTGAAAGTGAAAGGTACTCCTGCTTCTAATATTCGTTACGCTGATAATACTCTGTATCTTGGCAGATAGCACTGCTGAATTACAACAGTTAATGTATCGAATAAATTGAACTTGCAAACATTATGAATTTGAAATATACGTAAAATAAAGTCAATGTTAATTAGTCAGAAAGGAGCAAGACCACTTCAGTCTTTTGTGCCTACATTTATTAATTTACTTTGAATAATATGTTGTGACTTTTAATATTTGAGGATGTTCTATATAATATCGAAATATAATTATTGTGAACATCTTAAATTTCAAAATAATATCTAACTCTTCATAGTTTACCTTCAACTACGGATATCAGCCAAAATGGCAGCCTGTTTGAAATGCGATTGTGACGACGACAAAGGCACGAACTCTCACTGTTAAATCTTCATCGACAAGCTGAATTGTTCACGTATTTTAATTCATAATCGTTTTAGCTGGAATAAATTTCTGCATTGTGGGTGAAAATGACTCGGAAAAAAATCCTCCCCGGCGGTTGCATTACTGAACCTGACTGAAGGACATTGGGGGCCTCTACTGAAGACTCGAAACGTTCCAAGAGGACATCACTTGTCACAGAGTACTTCAGTGCTAACATTTAAGGGACGAAAAAGCAATGACAGTGTCAAATTGGGTATTAACAATATTTGGTAATATAGGGTAAAAATAATAAGTATTATCACACTAATTCAGGGGGCAGAAAATAGTTTGTGGCAAAGGTGGCGACATGAAAAATGTAGTTGTTTGCTTGTAAACAAAACTAATTATATATTATACGGTTTACTTCAAAATATGTTTTCCATTACACTATTATCAGTAGAGGGGGGATTAGTGACCTAAAACATTGCCAAAAATGATCAATAAAATATTCTCAAAATATTTTTAAATGCCCTAAAAGCAGAGACCAATTATGTAGACATGTTATCAAAATCAGTTCGGATAAAAACTCAAGCTGGCTGGATTACATTACTGGTGTGTTTGAGGTTTCTTCTATTCGTTCAAGCGCCTTCAGCTTCCAAACTTTTGGTTTGGACTGTTCTTTACCAGGAAATTCTGTCTTTAGTTATCCCACAAGCAGCCGAACTGTCAATGACACTGATAGGCGTCACAGGAACCTTAGATTACATACAACGGCTGACATAACAAATTCTGAGCGAAGAAATTGAAAGGCTACTCAGGAATTCTGTGCAGAACATTTGTTACATATCGTAAATAATATATGAAGCAAGTACCATTAAAATTATATTAAACTCGATTAATGAACGAAAAATGCCTTAAAATTAAGGAAAATGATAAAAAATGATATATAAGTCAAATAGACGAAAAAAGCAACAAAAACACCATAAAAATGGCTCATTTTCTTTTGTCATAACAAAATTAATTTCTATACGACGCGGCATTGTTCTACAATGAAAAGAAAAAAATTAATTAATATTCTCCCCTAATTACATTATTATTATTAGTATTAGTATTATTATTACTATTATTATTAATTATTAAAACTTTAAATATAAGACAGGTTTATCAAAATAAAGAAAATGAAATAGAATTAACCGAAGCAGTCATTTTCACCGCTCGCCGTCTTAATAGTTAGAATTGCATTACCGTCTTCCGAATGTTCAACACTCTTGTTTCAACTTTGCGTTCTGAATTACGCAACTCCAACATACAATAGTCTGTATGATTTCTTTCTGGAGCGTTTCTGGAATATTTTGTCAAAATAGAAAATGATCCAGGAAGTTTATTTTAAAAATATTCTAGTCGTCAAGGTCTTATTTCATGTCGTATATTTTATAGAGATCGGAGGAATTAACTTCTGCCTCGTCTTTTTTTTTTGTTTTTTTGCAGATAGCGCTGCCAAATGGATGTACTTCAACGGTCTGCTCGTCGTGCTGATGGTGATCAACACGGTGTTATACATAATGACAACTGCCCGACTCTGTGGCTTCATGCGTAACAAAAAGGAGCTGATGCGAGGGGAGAGCTGCATGCACGGAACCAGCTCTCGCCTCGGCGCTGACAAGCTCAGGTACACCTTCTCTCAACACTATTAACGGACCCAGCGCTCACCTCACCACCGACAAGGGCAGGTGCACCGCACCTTCTCTCAACAGTGTACACAGAACCAGGTCCCCCTCGCCACAGACAAGCTCTGGTAAACAACACCTCTCAACATTATGCGCGGACCCAGCTGTCACCTCACCCAACCTCAGGCACACCGCACCTTCTATTAACACTACGCACGGAATCCTGCTCTCACCTCACTACCTACAAGCAAAGGGACATCTTCTCTCAACACTACGAACGGACTCAGCGCTCGCTTTCCCACCGACAAGGGCAGGCATACCACACCTTCTCTCAACACTATGCTCAGGTCCAGGACTCGCCTCACCACCGAGAAGCTCGGGTACACCGCACCTTTTCTCAACACTAGGAAGGGGACCAGGACTCGCCGCACTACCCAAAAGCTCAGGTATATCACACCATCTCTCAACACTCTGCATGGAATAGCTCATCACACCAGTCACAAGCTCAGGCACAACTCTCAACACCGTGCATGGAATAGCTCCCACATACGTTCTTAAGAGCTCACGTAGACGACATTGTGCCCCGAATCAACTCACCTCCATACCGGCATGTTCAGGTATATCTTACTGTTACTCAACCCTATGCACGGAACCAGGTCTTGCATCTCCACCTACAAGCTGAGGTACATCGCATCTTTTCTCAACACTATAACGACGTCAGATAACGCCTCGCCACCGACAAACTCAGGTACACCGCAGCGTTTCTCATCACCATGCACAGAACCAGGAGTCGCCACACTACCTTTTTTCCTTTCCCACACTTGGAACCAACTTTAGATACACTTCGATATTAGAGATATACTTTGATTAATTACATTTGCTTTCATAAAGATGTATTTCTCATCTAGTGCTTTCAACAAGGATCGATGAATATAATAACTGCCAAAGACGCGCGATTTCTTCGGCACATGTTCTTTATTTTTGATTTTGACATAATATATGAAATTATGGTAATATGAAATATCAAGGTTTGCTTTTATTCACAGCGTCTTCTTTTGCACGGTGAATTATGGGTATACTCATGGTGGGTTTACTCTAACGGGAAAAAGCATAGTACATAAAATATTAAAAAAATAAAACTTAAAACATGGTATTTCTTATAATAATGCCTGATAAAATTACAAAAGAGTGCATTTACCCTACAAATATTCCCTCGAAGCACTATTTTAGAGAACTTTCAATTTCTCATTTTTCAATTTCTATTGTTAATAATTCTTATATTCTCTCTCATTTTTATCATTGCTTTTGCTCAATAGTAATTACTGAATTTGTTTCTCTACTTTCGACATTTCTTCGGGAATGTCTTCAACATATTTCACTATCAAGACAGTTAATTTACCTTGTACACACTGGGAGTTGGTCATCACAAACATAATTAATATTATATTATTAAAAGAGTGCATAACTATGTTAACATCGTAATGGTAAAGTTATTACGATATTGTGGTGCTATGTTTATCACTTGATGATCGATTATGTCGTAAACATTACATTGCACTATGAATTTTATTTATAAAAATTGGATTCTTCTTTTAATTGATGCAAAAGAAAAATAGTTTAATTCACAAAATGTGCTTATTAATACCTTGAAAAGTCGTTGATTATCATCATTTATTGCAAGTGTGCAATTAGAAACTGCACAACTATCAATCAAAATTCAGGAGAAGGATCTAATTCTTTAATTAAGTCTCTATAACACAGACGTGGCAAAGATATTTGCTTAATAATAATAGTAATAATAACAATAACAAAATTTGTTTATTTTCTCAAGAACTACTTACTTTATGTAGCTATAATGGTTGAAATGTTTGTATTATAATTTAATAATAAGGAAATAGTAATTAATATATAATAGAAATGTTCTATTTATCTAACGCAGTCTTTAAATAATGCTTCGTTAAATTTAGTGACATCTTCAAGATTTTCATTTCATAGTTTAACATTCGACCTTTATGATACCAATATATTCTCACTTCTAAGTTATACTTCCTTCTGCAGGGAATAATTTCGATTTTGAGCCGCAAAAATCTCTAACTTTTAAACGTCAACGCCTGCAGAGTAGAAAACTTTTAAAGCTTCCCTGCGAGGCGGATTGCATCTCAGCCTAGGCGTACAAGGCACTGTTTAATTTAATTGTAAACGCCCCTTTTCGCCCCAATATTCGTTCCTGAAATGTCACTTCATTGTAAAGTGCGTTACGTCATTGCTCGTTCCAGAAGACATATGAAACCATGGCTAATATATTTGGTAGTTGCATAGCGTGTTTGAAGACAACTCGTGTAATAACTCGCATAGAGCGTTCTCTAAATAATAGCTTAGTAATACTCGCTAAAAGTTAAGAATTCAGCTGTTGCAGTGTCATTCAATCAGGAGGTTGACGTGTGGCGTCACTGTAGTGATGTATAGTCGATTAGATGACACCGTAACAGCTAACGACCTTCCAAGTGCTGCTCTAAATAAATCGAAGTATAAGGTACGTGTTGTTAGGAGGAAAATGGAAGAGAATGACATAGTTGTGATATTTTGAACCATGTTTCATTAAATTATATTTAAAAATGTACTGAAATGTATTCCTCAAAGTCTTAATTTAAAAGTCATGTTTTAAAAAATTAAAGGTTTGGCGAGCCATAAGAACCCACGCCGAAACACGATAATCGGTCTTTAATAGCTCAAATATATATAATAGTATTAATATTTTGCCCCACGTTCGGCATGCCATAAAATGGCGTTTTCTATGTAATTTTCCCTTGCACCTGATTATATTCCACACGTAAATTAACAACATATTTATTCTCGTTATTTACATATGTTTCAAGTCTTTTCACGGTCAGTTCATTATATTTGACATATTTACTTACATAAGGTTTGCGTGGCGTTCACATGTCTTGCGATCGAAGTTTTCATTTTTCTTGAATTTTTAACCTAATGTACACTTATTAATTAGATCGCTGGTGACGTAGATACCTTCTAATAATTAAATATGGCAAATTAAACATAATACCATGTAGGTTTTTCGACACCTCAACCTCCAGTAACTAATTTTAAGAAGAAAATTGGATATAAAAATGTTATTTCTAATTGAATACGAAAATTGAAAGGGCACGTGATACATAACAAAAATTTCATTAAACAATAATATTATTAACAAGCAAAATCTGCCTTGGAGTTGACAAACAGCCCTCCAAATCCTCCCCTACATTCTCATTACCACATGCATAATTGTCTTCTAATCGTTTTAAACCGTTTTTTATTTGACTTTTCCCAAGTTTATTTCTTCCTTTTTATAGTAAATCACACAGGCTTGAGTGGCTCAGAGTATCAACTGATGTCCCTGCAGTGCCTCTGGCCGGGAGATCCTAAGGTTCGATTCACGACGATGTGGCAGGATGTTCGACAATATTTAGATAGCTAGGTCGAATACAGCCGCTGTCTGGAGGAGAATTCTAGCTGCTCTGATCGGTAGTTTTCCGATCATCACCAGGCGAATGCCAAAGCAGTACGGACCGTGTGCAATCGTTCCTTCTTTCTTGTCTCATCCCTGTCCTCCCCCATACATACACACACTTACACCTACATGCACTACACTACCGCACATGTCGATATACCGGTCAGGAGCTTAGAACTTCTCCCGGCTATGGTGGTGCTCCGCTGGTGGGAGATACCTGGTTGGAACCCCCCCTCCCCGCATTCCGACATGTAGGTCGTCGACGAATTTCTCCATCTCGCTCGTGAGGGAAGACTGCCACCACTTCCCGCGATAAAAACATGCACTACACTTACGGACCGTCTCAGTTGACGCTCCCAGAACCACTAACCAATCAATCAAAAAAGTATCTTGTGTTCGAACCTTTATTTCCTTTAATTAAAAAAGTGCTGTTGTTGGCGTAGGTTCTGGCTGCACTCGCGCCTGTTCCTGGTGATGGGTGTGCTGTGGGGCTTCGATGCCATCTCGCCTGCCTTCGAGGGCACTCTGCTGGAGGATGACGCCGACCACTTCTATTGGTTCGCTGTGGACGTCGTGAACCTGCTGCGCGGCTTCGCCCTCTTCTGCATCTACTGCTGCAAGCGCAAAGTGGTACGCGCGTTTCTTAGATTTTTCCTTTACAAAGTTAATTCTACGTGATAAATTCAAGGCCCAAAAATAGGGTTTATTTCGGCGTACTAGTTCAGATATGATAATGTACAAATCAGAGTATTTACGTGTGTTTACAAAGCTGATAATATTGGTCATGAATCTCATTTTTGAAGAGGTATTGCACTAAACTGACCCTTACTTGAAATATTGCTGGCTTTTATACAAGGTGTAAGGGTCGGTGACGTTCGGTAACAGTCGCAGAACGCGGAAGTGCACCGTCGGTTGCGAAAACGAGTCAACCGCGCGTGACAAGATATCGCTCGTTCGTGGAAGCTTCATCGGGCCATACCGCGCCGTGCCGCATCAGCTGTTGACGCGTGTTGTTAGTAGTACGTTGTCACGTTTCCTCACCCTCCTACCAGACGTGGTTCCGCTTGAAGTCTTCTTCTTCTCCTTCTGCGACGGCCCATGTTTCGACTGCATCGAAGACGTCCAAGCTGCTTTAACGAGGACCCTCAACTGCATTCCCGCCAGTGATTTCCAGAAGACTTTTGCCGATTGGCAGACGCGTTATACTCGGTGTGTCCAACCACAAGAATCCTACTTCGAACAGGATATGTACAGATATGTGCAAAATAAATTACTTTTAATAAAAATCAGCCCTATTTGTTTTAGCAACTCAGCCGTTAACAGGAGAAGAATCAAGCGGCCGGAGAATTCGCGAAGATAGGTCAAAGAAGAGGAAAGAAATATCGCGCGTGGTCCATGGCGCGTTGGGGTTCTGCACCGGCATTCGCCTTTCGCCTGGTGATCAAAAAACGTACTGATGACATCAGTCCGCCGCTTCTTCTCCAGTCAGAAGCTGAATTCGATCTAGCTTCCAAGCCGGTGTCGAAAATCCTGCCACCGTCACGATTCGAACCCAGAACCTCCCGGTCAGAGGCCTCAGTTAATGCCCTGACCCATCTTTGCCAGTTTGAGCAGTTGATGCGTTCGGCAGCACTAATCAATAGAGACCGTATTTTTTAAGTAATTACTTACTGTTTGTCTTTCTACTTATCGTTCTCGAAATTATAATTAGCAAATCGTCGCCGTCCAAACACAATATTATTTTTTTACATATTTTAACGTATTTAGTATTATATTCCACACTTAATATATTTTGCTATTTTCATAATTTTTTTCATTCTATCAATTATCTTACATATTTTCTATGAAAAGAATGTGAAAGGTATTTATTTAAGGTGAAAGGTAACGAAACGTAATGTCGGTGATTATTTTCCCGTCTAAATGTGAAAATGATCTCAGTCGCTGACGCGCACTTCCCACCACTGAGATAACTGAAGCAAACGCGCCGAGAACATCCGACCGTGTCTTCACGTAGCGTACCTCGAGTAGACAACACGCAGTAATAATGTAGGGGAAAATGCTGAGCGTTTTTTTTTATTTCAGAGATAGTTTGGCGATCGCTGACTCGCAACACTTCGATTAGAATGCTGCACGCTGCAGAGATTGTTTGCTGGTCGTAGATATCGCCAGTTTGAACGATTGCGTCAAATCTGGCTGTTCATCAACAGTCCAATTTGTGTGCTGCACAATCCGATACTGCAATTTATGTACTGCAATAGATGAAGTGTTTACTGATGAGAAAGCTGTATGGTGCATAGTGGACAACAAGTTATGCTCTCCAAATGAAACGTGTATATTATTTTTAAATTTTGTTTAGAATTTTTTTAATAAATTTAATTTGGTGTTATGTAAATGTGTTTTATAATGAGTGTATTTTAATATCATATTTTATCTTGCATATTTATTACATATTCTTTCAGTTTTCATTTTGATGTACGTATTTTGACGTTGTACCTTATGGTCTCTTTTCCGCGGCTTTGATGCGATGGAGAGACCATTTGGGGTGAATACCAGAATTCGAAAGATTATAACGCGAAAGGATGTAGGTATTGTAATGGCTTAAAGGCCTTCGCCCTAGCCACATAGGATCAAGTAATCTAATTTGTTTGTAATAATTACCTATTAAATAAATAAACAATATTTTGACGTTTCATACCACATATTTTTCCAGTCTCTACCGCTGATTAGTAATGCATCGATATATCTGCCTAGGTGCACAAGCTGCGCGAGCGCGCCGCGTCGTGCGGGCTGGAGTGGGCGGCGCCGCCGTCCCACGGCGAGGGCGACGCGCACGGCGCCCGCTGGCCGCAGCGCTGGTCGGCGTGGCTGTCGTCAGCCGGCGCTGCGGGGTCGCGCCGCCGCCCGTCCACCCTCAGCCTCTTCTGGCCGCGCACCGCCTCCTCCTCCTCCTCCGCCGCCGCCCCCGCCCCCGCCGGCAGAGCGCGCCTCTCCACGCAGAGCACCTGCGTCTCCCCCCTCTCCAGGAGCCCCACCGCCCACGCCCACGCCGCCAGCCCGGCCATCACGCCCATCCGCGAGGACCCGTTCGCGGAGATTCTCCAGGTGGAGATGGAGGGAGGCGACGACCACGACGGCGACGAACCCCGGCGGTGGAGCTACGGGTCCAGGTGGCGTCTGGCTTCGAATGGGGCGCAGAAAAAATAATTCGACCCGGCGTTACAGCATCAGAGCGCTCACGTGCAGACTCTGGTCCATTGCACTGGTTCATGAACAAAACCCGTTTAAAGACAACATTCGTGACCAGAAAAGTTCATTAAGTGATCCTGGATTCACTCAAATTCTGTACAACTGGAATTACTTGTAGGCCCCCAAAAGAGTACATTTTCTTATTAGATTTATTTGTCTGTAATCACATACGAAAATGCCTGTTGGTCCGTTTTCACTAGTCACTTATGTTACCTTTCTCGTATCACTTTGGTTTTACCAGTTATTTCACCAGTCACTTTCGTTTACTTACAAACTACTGTACTACATAGTTTTATAAGACGTACACTACTTGTCCGTCGGTCTGTAGCGGTACAAGAGCCCCTGACGTTGCCAAGGCCTACCAGCGGCGTCCCAGTCTTGCGGCCATGAGTTAAGGCGTACTTAGCATGTAGACATCCCTACGCCATCTTCTCAACCTGCGGCGAGAGCTTTCTCATTGTCACGCAGCAACAGATACTGAGATATTGCAAGCAAAAGCGCAAGTTTTAAACTGCTCCGACCGGGAATCAAACCCGGCATCGCGTCTTGGAAAGCGAGCACGCTGACCAATAAGCTACCCGTAGGACCAATACACAAATTAGAACAGTATTGCAATGCTGCATGGAAACATGCCGGATTTTTTGTACTGCTATTGTGTCTCTCTGATACCGAAAAAGTGGAATCTTCTTGCTTCTCTTTATAGTAAATTACTTTCTCTCTAACACGTTGTGTAGTTCCAATCCACATTTTGTGGAACTTTGATGCTAAAAATGTGGTTTACTGCGAAACGTCCGTCCGTTAGTTGTGCTTCTCTCCGTACAACTCTGTCACCTAAATTATACACAGGATTTTCGGAGAATTTGTTATTTCACAAAGCGGTCTCGGAGGTGTTACGTACATTGAATTTGAAACAGGTGTTTCAAGTTTTGGTATTCAGAAAACATGACATTTTAGAAATTTTCTCAAAACTAATTCCAATTTTTTCTTTTAAGATTTTGCTCGAAGAGACATATATACGGTTATAACAATGTCGGAGGTCCGGTTTTCACTGAAACCTCTGAATTTTCGAAAATAACAAAGTTTGTTATAAACTCTGTTTGCATCTTTAATATTGAAGCTAGGAATGTTTTCTATATTTCAATCTATTCCTGAACATAAGATCTTTAAATACATTTATTTACGTTATTTTTAAAATATTAAATGTTTTCCCTTAATTTTTAATTACACAAGTAGTTTGATAATGTTCAAAACTAAGCTGTCTCTATACCTGTCTTTCGCATTTAATAATGAAACCAGACTTTCTTTTCTTAAAGCTCTCAATTTATCAATATTGCATCTTTAAATCAACTCGTGTACTTTCTTTCGACATAAGAGTTGTTTTCCTGATTCTTTAGAATCTTTATTCTTTGACATGCAAAAGATCGCAGAGTATTTATCATACTATTGTTTTCGTCGGTTTTCGAAGTTTGCGGTCATGGTCAAGCGGGTTAAGCGTTCGGACTTATAAAGGCCCTAGTTCGATTCCTGGCAAAACCGAGGAATATGTTTTTCTAAAAATTATTTCCTTGGGTAGAGCAGAATACGCGTATTAATATGATGTATCTCCAATTGTAATTAAAACTTTTGAACTTTCGAAAATTACAAATCTTCGCAAATTGCCATTTCTATATTCTAGCGCGTCCTTTGCCGAAGAGTCATTCATGGGACTAGTTTCCTTGATTTCACTACTTTCCTTTCGTGTGACATTAAATTAAAATACCAGTGCTAATAGCTTTTTTATCTTCTTCCAGGCTTTTGGAAGTCATTAATTGATATCAATCTCCTGCTAGAAACCGTCCCTACATGTAATCATAATACAACTAAATGCGTTGCTTCTAGTTCTATTTGCAGTGTAAGGTTTTGTCAAAGGAAAAATAATTCAGAAATGTGTTCATTCTCCGATTGGTTTGCTAACCGATCACTGATTCTAAATAAACTCATTTTATCTTCGCTCTGTTTCCTTTAGAAACACTTTTGAAAATATCTCTCGTTATACTAAGTTTTTATTATAGTAATTCCAAAAATGGCCATAGACTTTTTGACTCTCGCAACACGTTACAATTTACAGTAATAGTGTGAGAGAAGCGTAAAGCAACTGTTATACCTTCAATCAGTGCGAACATACATTTCTTGACGCGGAAGTTGTGATAAACGAAGGGAAAATGTTGAAATCCTATAATTATGATAAATAAATGCTATGTAAATTATAATTTTATATACAGTGACGGTCGATTTTAGAAATTGCTAAAAATGCGAAATGTCACCAAACGCTGAAATAAAAGTAATTATATGTTTGACGGTCTATGCAATATATTTATGAAGGTTTTCAATCTGCGATAAAATGCTAAATCACGCGCAAAGTGCTAAATAGTCGTGAATATGCGATATAATTACTAAATTCCATTCTATGTTTTCCTTCATGCTCGTTAATTAGAGATGCGACATCGATGTTTCAAAATATTTAATTTAATATTTAATTGTCTTAAAAGTAAAAAATAATAAAAAGCATTAAAAAACTGATCATGAAAGCCAAATCGCTCATGTTCATCTCAAGGGGTCTCCGCTTCCTCAGTTCGCTGTTCCGAGGAGGTCACGGGAAGAAGAGAAAGGCCGCCCTAACTAATCCTACGGTGCACGCGTTACTTCTTACGCTTCTCAAGCTATTTGCGCCTTTTGCATTAGCTGAAATTCACAAATGACGAAATACTACAGTAGTTTCCTTTACTTCATGATTTTAACGGGAAAATCTAAAAAGCATCAATTTCATGTCCCAGTTATCCCTTGATAATAATTTTCTCAACAAATGCTACAAAATGCTAAATCTTATTTTTTATAATGCTATAAAACGCTATAGACTTGTTTTTAAAATTTAAAGAGCTAAATTACCATCACTATTTATATACCTGAAGTGATATAACACCAACATGATATCTAGAGGTGCTTAGGAGTGATGCCATGGTATAAATCACAACACAGAAAATATTAAATTACTTTCGTCCACAGAAATATTTTAAGTTGTATTATTTATTAAGTAAAAATATATTTCACAAATCACCTGCACAACAATAAGCATGAATAGATGTTCTTTCTTAAAGGTACAGTGGTTCGAACGTTCATTTGTGGTCGCTCGCGTGTAGAAAAAATGTAACTTTCCCAGAGCACTTTAGACTTTTCTCTGCTGTTTTGTGAAATGTTCAGAGGCGGATGATGTGTTTTACACTGAAGATAGTATTGTATAACATCATTAAATGTTGATAATTTCTTAACATACATATAATATGTAACAACAAATTGTGTAGATGTTACGAATGAAATATTTGACACCAATGTTAGAACCAACATTACTGAATTGAATTATTACGTGGCGAGACTCAGGCCATTAGGCCTGCTCTTCCGTCAGACGACGCAAATTTCGATTTCACCAACTAGCGGAGAAAGGAGGTATTTCTTGGACGATAAAACAGGCGAGTTGAATTTACTTCAGAGGTTTCATTCCGGCTTGATCTTTTACATGCAGTAAATATACTAACATGGGACAGCCGGCTTTACTTCGCCTCTGAAGGAAGGCGTACGAAGGATTTTTTCGCCCTTTAAAATCCGTGGCGTCGATCTGGTTTGAACCCGCGAACTTGGGTGTAACAGTCCGATTAACATTATAACATACATTCAAAGGTAAAATTAAGAAATTGTTCCTCCTGAGGCTGTCATATAAAGTTTATCTAGTATCTTATTCCGGACTCATCGAGTCAGTACACCCGTAGGAAATTGCGTATGAGGGGGCAAATTTTTCTAATGCTTCAAGTAAAGAATTGCTTTGTTTGTGAAATACTTTTTATAAATATCGAAGTTCGGAAGTTCCCAGAAACTTATTTTTCTCGGATCCTCTCATGATATTACCTATGATATGCTTCTCAGGCATAGAGAAGGCTGAACTGACTCCCGAGTGACTTGATCGGATTCTCTGGTCCCAATCCACGAAAAGCTGAACACTAATGTATCAATTATAGGATCAAATAACCGTTCAATTTCTCTCCAGCATGAAACATTTTTAAATAAATACTATCTTAAAAGGAGAAGTACTTCTGCACTTCGTCAGTCGCCTCCAATTAATTTTCCTATGGAATTAACGTGTTTCACTGTTTGTAATGTCCCCAATCGAAGACCTTATTTCCGCCGTACATCCATTTCCATCAGTTTTCTTATTGTACTTTCAATATATTCTTCAGAAGCTTCTCCATCATTCTTCCGAAAACCATGTTAAAAATAGTGTATTTTTCATGTTACACGGTATCCGAAAACCATTTTCTAATATCTTGAACCAATAGACTGAAAGAAAATAATTTCCCTTATTGAAAAAGTGTTTCATACGAAATTACTATTCAATTCTTACAAAAGTGCTTTATTATAACATTCTTGCTTAAAGCGTGATACATGTATGTATAACATAACGTATTGTACTAAATAATCAGGACTTTATTCAAGTTGTATTTTTGTGTTCCTATAATGATAGTTGCTAATCAACTGAGGATAAATTTCATTTAAACCAGAGTAGAAAATGGACTCGAAGTTTAAGGATTTGATTTTGTTATTGTTAATTTCACACAAATTAAAATTCTGACATTTGACCAGTTTAAAAGACAATGGTTTTAATGTCATACGTCGTTTGGGTTGAATCGTCGTTTGACAAGAAAAAAAAATTGTTAAACTCGTCACATTTCAATATATTATATTCATTATTGTTTGTAGTACAAATCTTCATTGTGAAATGGGGGCTTGAAATTCATTTTGACAAAAATTAAATTTATCATTGTGTCCAGTTTTCAGCTTACATAGGTTTGTAAACAGTTCCTTGTGCTTTATATGTAACTTCCAACAACGCATGCGTGCGCTGGGTAGGCTAAATGAAAAAAAAATAGTTT